TTTTATAAAGTATAAAATTATTAATAAAAAAATACTCTAAAAATGAATAATAATTAGGCTATACAAATTAAATTAATTGATTCTTGTCATATAGAACAAACAAATAAGACCTGGCTAGCTAGCAAAAAATGTTATATTTAAAAAATTTTTTAATATAAGAAATTTTTATAAAATTTTTTTCATACAAGAATAAAAAAAATTTTATATAGAAAAAAATTTTAACTTCTCTAAAAAAGTGACTCGGCCGGGTGACGAGAATCAACTAATTTAATTTGTATAGCCTAATTATTATTCATTTTTAGAGTATTTTTTTATTAATAATTTTATACTTTATAAAAATAATTTAAAATTTTATATTTTAAAATACAAATTGATGTTAATTTTAAAAAGTAAAAAAAAATTAAAAAATGAAAATATATATTTTATTATTATTATAATATCAATATTAACAACTTGAAGTAGTCTTCTTTATAGCTACAGTTATTAATATTTACAAGGTTTTTGTTATTAGTCAATTAAACTATTACTAAAATAAATATCACTAAGAGAAAAATCTGTAAATTTAATTTTCAGCAATGCTTATAAAAATCTAATATTGTTTATTTATATATAGTAAAATTTTTAAAATTAAAAATTACAGTTTTTTTCTTGTATTCACTATCAAAAGAAATACAAAAATAGATTTTATTTTTGTTAGTACAAACTAAATGTATGAGCTAATTTGAAAAATTGCTAATATCTTTTAATCTACTAATCTGTTCTTAATGATTTAACTATTAAAATATTTGTCTCAATAAAATGATCTTAATGAATCTAAAAATTGTTAATATCTAATTATAAAATCCTAAGATTTATTTTTATTTTTTTTATAAATTTGCTGTATATATGATAAGATAAGTTACAGGTTTGTATCAAAATGATAATAATTCTAACTATCTATTATATTTTGTATAACCACCAAAGTGTAGCAAATCACTTCTTAATTTTCTGTTTATAAACTAATTTAAGTCAAGCTACTATTAGTTATAGAATAAGAAAGAGGAGGCCCAAAGTTAGAATATAAATTAATAAAAACATAAGTAAATAGAAAAGTTTTGGTTATGCTATTTTTGAATGAATAGGTCGATGTTGTAATTGTAAGTTGTTGTTGTAGAGTTTTTGAGAATAGTATTCAGTAGAGAAATTTTCATTTATTTATATTTAGATGTAATGTTTCTTGAGATTTCTCAGTCATGTTGGAATTGGTTTTTGGTTTGTCAAATATTTAGATTAAACCAAGAAAGAAGGTGTTAGATAGGTTAAGACAGAAGTTGGTAGTATTTTTAGTAAGAATTGGTTGTAATTGATCTGTGATACAAAAAGGAATTGTTGTTTGTATAAGAAGAAGAAGGTTTTGAAAATATGTATTATGTGTATTTGTATTTAGTAATATATCTGTGATTGTTGAAGGGTTTGTATTTTCAATTTTGAGTTCAGTTATAGTTTGAATTGTGTATTGATTGATTATTTGAGTTAGGTCAAGTAGTGCTTGATAACTGTTTAATAAGTGTAAAGTATCTTTAAAGTGGTTGCATCTAGTATAATTAGGGGTTAAATAAAGATATAAATAATGGAGGTAAAGGTTAGACATAGTAGAAAGGTTATTTAGTAGTATCTTAATATGTAACAAATATAGATTAGATTTGTGGTTGTTGAAGTTAATAGTGCTTATAAGAGTTTTAATGTTAAATTAAGGAATATTACAAATATTTTCAAGTTGAAGGAATTTGTTAAAAGTCTTAATAAAAATTAGATTTTTAGTAAATTTACGAATTTGTGTAATAAATAAAGTATTGTGCTATAAGAAGAAAGGTAAGGTTATAAGATAGTCTATGTTAAGTTCAATAGTTCATCTATTTGTATCTCTTTTAGCAAGAATATCTGCATTTTTGTTTAAAGTATTTCTAGAATATGCTTTAACTTTGTGTATAGTAAAAGATATGTTTTTCTTTTGAAGAAGATTATTAATGATATGCAGGTAGTCACAGTTTTCTATTTTAATTTTTGTAGAATGATAATAAGGCAGGCTTTTGAGTATTTGTATTGTAGAAGAGTTGTTGCAGTAAATATTTATAGGTAAGTTTTGTGATAAAGAAAGAAGTATAAATATAATTGGTGCTAGTTCAGCTCTTGTAGTATTGGAAGCATTTGTGAATTTAGCTAAGAATTTGATTTTTGTATTGTTTTTTAGAATTCAACCAATACCAGTTTGAAAATTAGGTGTTTGGATGTTTTTAATGGATGCATCTATATAAAAATAAAGATTTTTTAGTAAAGTTAGTAATATTTGTTGATAAATATTAATAAGTTCTATTTGATATACTGGGGTAGTAAAAGAGTTATTTATAAGGTCTATATTTGGGTTTTGTATTTGAATATATGTATTTTCTGAGATAGGTGTTGATATAAAAAAGAGGAGATTTGTACTAGTGATAGTATTTTTTGGAAGTCGATAGAAAGTTTGTAGTATTGTTTTTTCTTTTTGACTTTTGCAACAGAAATTAATTGTAGAAGTGAAGAGGTTGTAAATATTTGTAAAGAAGGTTAAAGCATTATGGTATCAGAAGATCTTTAAGAAATGAAATAGTTTTTAAAAAGAAAGTTGTTTTGTGTTATTAAAGTAATTTTCTATTTGTAAGTTAGGTGTAGAGGTAAGGATTATCTAATTATTTTTCTAAGAGAATGTAGATGGTATTGAACTAAAGTAAGTGTATTAACAAAGGTGTTGATATTTTCAAGTTAGATTAGTGGCCAGATAGAAGAAATAGGATTGTTAGTTATTACAGTTAGGGATTTTACCAAATATGAAAATTAATTCTGGAATAATCTGCAGAAATTTGATTGGCCATTGATCAATACATTTTTACATTTTTTAATTTTTTAACTGCTAAGTCGAGACTTCTAGCAATAACTATATAGGATTAAAAGTCATACAAACTAAGAATAGAGAAACTTTAGTTTCAGAATCAGTCAATAATACTTCAGGATCAACTTTTTTTAAAAAGGTATATGAAACCCGGAAATGCAAGAGTTTTAATGTCAAATTTTCTTGTTAAAGCTAACTCTAACTCTTTTTTCTTTAGCATTTTGTATTAAAATCAACTATGATGTCACAATTCTCAAGACTGAAAGCCTGTGAACTTCCTTGTATATTTAACAGACTAGTTGATAGTTATAAGAAAATTGGCCTAAGTGTTTGCAAAACATCTGCATCACAAACTTGAAAGCATGCTGATAGTAAGGCAACAGTTGATCAGCTCCTATTATTTCACGGTTTTATGCCAGAACTTATAGATCTTCAACCAAACTTAAGTTCCTACTCGATCTGCCAAATACATTACAATCAAATTGTCTCTAAAGATCATTTTTACCAGCATTTATTAAATAATTCATCCAGTTCATCTTCTAGTTACAAAGACAAAAAATCTCGAATCGACACTAATTTTAATGACGATTCAATTTCTATTTCTCTTCCTAATTCCTTTTCTAATTCTATTTCTGATTCTCTTCCTAATTCCTTTTCTAATTCTATGTCTGATTCTTTTCTAATTCTAGGATTTATGATGAGTTAACAGAAAATCAAACAGAAAGTCAAGAAAATAGTGAAGATGTAATGAATCTCGCTAACGTAATTACTGAATTTTTGGTGCGAATAGAAACTCAAAACGGGGAAATAATAGAGTTAAAAAAAAACTAAACGAATATTGTAAAGAGATAGTTAGATTAAGGGATCTATACCAAAAACAATGTGAAGTAAATGAACAGCTTGTTGAATAATGGAATTCTCAACATGGTGACCGGGATAAACGTATACAAGAAATTATTAATATTGCGCAACTTGAAAGAGAATATTTATATGAAGATATTGAATTTCTGATCAAAGATAATCATAGGTTTTCTTTAGAAAATCTATTAAATTATACTCCTTAAGCATGGCTAAGTAATTGTAATCCAGTTATCGTAAAATTTATCAAAACACTAACTCATAATAATCTCAATTTAGATTTCATAAGTATTGAAAAGCTTTTTAAACAAGCGATGGCTGTTAATTTAATATACGGGTCCAGGCACAGAAATACGTATCAGAAATAAATCTTGTTGCATTGGCTATTAAATATTTTATTGCACAATCAAAAATTGTTATTAATATTGACAACCATATCACATGTTTGGGTGGTTATTCTCATTTTCAAAGCTGGTTGAATGAACTTTCAGAAAAAGAAGAATCTTTACCTAAAGGACTTTTGTTCATAGCATTTGATAATGAACAAAAAGACCAATGTAATTATCTTGATCGAGGAATGAATATGGTGATATTTCATATTGTCACTAGTTTTGCCGTTTTTAATATGGATTCTCAAAATTATATTTAGTATACTAATTCATCTTGGGCATCGAGTTCTCTTAGCAGGCTTCAATATGACAATCTTTTTGAAATTACATCAGAGATGCAAAAGGCGATAGATCAAGAATTAAATAATTATCTTGCTAAAATTCTTGAATTATTGTGTGAAGAAAAATCAACATCTACTAATTATATCGATTCTTTTGTGGCTAATTTAGGATCTAGTAGCCACGGTGATAAGTAATGCTTTAATTGTGGAGAACAAAATATTAACAATCGAAAGCAACTTTGTTTCAAGTGTAGAGCCCGCTTGCCAACATTGGCTAAATTACCGAAACAAGAAGTTCCTGAAGTAGAGAAAGGTATTATAGACCAATCGGTAACCTTTAAGCCATATCGTGTTGAAAAGGAGACAAACCTACCTATCGAACCAAGAATTAGCGTTACTTAGAAACATATTGCAGATCAGGGAGTTAATGTTCTAGAAATTTTTATTCCTGACCCTCTCAATATTAACCCTAATTCAATAATAAATATTGAAAAGGTTCTTTCCCATATTGAGAATATTTCAGGAATTAAAAATGGAACACGCAAATGGATGGCTGTTACGTGTGATGGCATCCTGTACCAGTGTATATTTAAAGTCAAAGATAAATATCCTTGGCTAATTCTTATTTCTAGACAACTCTATGAAGAGATAAACATGCTTCGGGCATATGTAGAATTAATCTGGCAAGTTTATATTTTAACAGTTTTGTATTAGACTACATGAATTTAATTTTTCATTGTTTTGCATTACCTGGTATTTCGAAGTTTCGGTCGGTTAGTCAGATTTTTTTTTTTGTTATTAATCTAAATAATAACTCATGTTCACATTTAATTCATGCATCTAGTCTTTTAGTACTTTTGTGAAAAGACATTTTACTTACTTTATTCAAATATTATAGCGACGATTTTAAATTTTTTAATTAACTTTCAAGTTAATAGAAAAGAAAAAAATAGAAAATGTACAAATTGCCAATATAACACATCACAAGCCTGGTGCCAAACATGTGACTCTTGGAAAATAATACAAAATTGGACAAGTGGCAATAAGGATATCAATGGTTATATTAAAGAAATTTTGCTTAATTCTATGTAGTTAAATCACTACATTAGGCTTATTAAAAAAATTTCAAGTTTTAAAAATTTTGAATCAGTGGGCAATACAAAACGAAAAATTAGTGTGGCTTTATATTAAATTATTTAATTTATATAATTTAAAACTTATTTGTTTTATATTTCTAAAAGGGATATAGATCTCAAAAATTTGCAATATGCCAAGGCTATAAAATGGAGAATCAGCTTGCTTATTTCAAAAAATGTTGTGACCATCACAAGTCTTGAGATTCTGTCTGCAACATATATCGTCAGGCAATGGCTATAGAACTGATGTGGCTATATGTTAAAGACTGTTCTAATCCATCGATCGAAGGATACTTAGTCTAGATAGAAAGACAAAGAGATTCACTTTACCAAATAAAGTTTGAGCAGGTAAAATAATTCTATTTGTTAAAATATTTAATAAATTAATTGTTAAACACTATTTATTTCAGTATTTATTTATTTTTAAATAGATATTTACATATCTTCAGGCCATTATTAATTACAGAACAGCTATCAGAAACAATAATCTATTGTCAAGTAAGCAGCCAAAAGAGTCTTTTCTCCAGTGTAGTCAGCTCAACGCCATCCAATATATTGTCTAATAGAGGTCGCAAATAAAATTCAGTTGATGCAGCTTGATCTAACCATATGAGATATTGTAGAAAAATATAGTATGTTTTCTCAATGAAAACTCTTTAATCAGCACCAGAGTTTGGATGCAGTTTTAGAGGAAATAAATAAAACCCTGAAATCGTTGATACCTCCAGTTCCACAAGCACAACATTGGAAAGTTGAGGTGAGAAATTGCAAAAAATTTCTTCAGGTAATATCATATTAAATTTGTTAAAATCTAATTTTTTTTTTAAATATATTTTTTTATTTTTTTTTTTCTACTTAGGCCATCTTGCCTTTAGTCTCCTTTATTACTTTACGATTGTATGGTATTACAAAAGGCCT